TTCTCAATAAGAGACTCAATAAAACCATTATTGGTATGGACATAAGGTACTTGATATATAGTACCCAAAAACCAAACTATTCCATATAAAATGGATTTGATCCCACATCCAGGATAATTTGCTCTAAATTGAAGATTTTGAGCAATGAGTTTGGTATAGTGATGGTTTTCATGACTAAGAGACACACTTGGGACTATATTGTGGATGCATAAATGTGTATTACATAGTATCTTTATGGTCCATAAAATGGTAAATAGAGTCACATGTATGTTCTTGAATTTCTTCAAGAAATGTAGTGACTCATATTGATGCTATGACCAATAGAATTGACAATAATTCTCAAGTTATCTCTATAGTTGAATAACTAAGGCAAATGTGCCAAGTCTTATTGACATCAAGAGAGAGAATTATTTGTACGCAACATTGGATATATGTTATGTATATGTAGTCAAATCCAACTGAGGATGTTTTGTTTAAGTATTGTCATATCCGTTGTCAAGAGAAAAATACTCCTCTTAGTTGTCATCTTGGGGTTTCCATATGAAAACCACATTGACGGATATCTCTATAATTTTAATTGGGTACATTTTAAAATTAGAATACAAGAATGAATTCATGATTATTATTTAAGTACCAATAGGGAGTATGATAGTAGCACGACCAAAGCCCACTATCATGACATCACATCAAGCGATTAACAAAATATTTCCTTGTCTCTATGTAAGAGTTTAGGAATATTTTGCTTTCCTATATATAGAGTTTGTGGTGCAACTATCCACTAGGCAAAATTTCTCTTTATATTTGGATTGACTCCCGTATAGGTTTATATATAGCATGAAGAATATAATGACATTCTTTGTAAATATATAGATTACATACAAGTAAATTAATGGAATATCAAATGTGATGGCACATTATTGTGATATTCAATTAAAATTGATGATAACATTTTATATTACAACACCAAAATGGGACGAAGATACTAGGTATCTTTGTAAATGGAAGACAAATTTGGTTTCCAAAATGGATCAAGCGAAGTAAATTCGATGATCGTGCTCTCCATGCTCATAAGACCCACTTATTAATTAAGTGTTTGGTTGCTACTTGGTTTTTTCATGAAACTTGTTGTGAACAACTGGCCTTCCTGGTGATGTCAGGTTGAAGATAGAAGCGTGCTTCATATCTTTATTATTGAGCCGGTTATTTATGTCCAATGGATTTGTAATACCGATCAATTAAATGTTTCATGGCATGACATTTCTAAGTTGTATGGCTGTAACATACACAATTGGGACAAAATATAGTTTTGTCATATTTGGGAAATGCCTTGACCCTAAAGAATGCACGGGGCTGCTACTTTTTTTGCGTTAAATCTTACCATTAAAGTTCTATGGATGGTATTACTACATGGCATCGAACTTGTAATGATTCTAAAAATTCAATGTACTTAAGATGATAGAGCATCACTATAATACTAATGATGATTCCTCGATAAGAGTTTATCATACACTTAGACCTGAAGTAATGTAGGAATTAATCTAGAATACATTTGATAAGTAGCGTGCTTTCGCGAAAATGCAATGTTGGGGGATATTTTGGAACAACATAATTATATTCTCAAGTGAACTTAATATCCTAAAGATAAAGTTGTGGCTAATCATAGTTGGCATTGGGCAGAATGACTGCCTTGTGTTGTTTGTATCACTCATTGAAAGCTAGCCATATAGTGCTTTGATTTACATCCATTGAGATACACATATGTGTGATCTAGATGTGTACAATGTTTTATTTAAATAAAACTCCATACTTAATTGTTCAGTAAGCGGTGATGCTCCCTTACGAGGAGCACCAAGTATATTTTGCTATGAATCCATAGATCAATAAAGTTTAACTTTACATTCATTGACCATGTTAGATAATGATGACCATCAAGAGCAAGAGATCAAACTCTTTGCTGACTATTATTCTAACAAGGTTTAAACCATAGATTTTCTGAATTTACGCTAAGGGTAAATTTAAAATTGCTATGGTGATGCTGTATTAATTAATGCAAAATAAATAGGAGACAAGATCTATCTCACTAATAGTGTAAACCTCATTTATGCTAACACATTAGAGGTAGTCATCATAAAGATGTAGACCTCTAATAATATGGACATAGTGTGTTGAACAGTAGATGCTAAGTGGTGTATGCAATTTGTATAAACACATTTTAAGGTAATCATCAAAAGATTGATGTAGACCTTAGTTAATCCACAAACGAATTGGGTACGCACGTTGAGAATAATCACTAAGTTGTGAACTTAGTGTAGATCCCGCAGTAGCAACTATGGTGCTACCTTATGTATGGCCAATAGGAATGCTGATTAATGATAGTCATCTTATGAAAAGATGTAGACCATATGTTTCAATTTGTGATGTTGGGTACGCACGTTGAGGATAGTCACTAAGAACTTAGTGTAGATCCTACAGCAGCAACTATGTTGCTACCTTGTGTATGGCCAACATACAATGTGAAATATTTGTGTTATATACAAATAATGAGGTAATACACTTAATGGATTTTGCATTAAAAATGTAAGCACTATGAGCTTTAAATAATAAAGCTTAAAAGGGCTTAACATGAAATGAAAATTGCAAATAACAAAGTAATTACAATAATAAGGTCATGATAGTAATACTACATGTTTATTGGGTTTGCCATTTTGGACAAACACTTTGAACAATGTAATGATTATACTACATGTTTATTAGGTTTGCCAATTTGGACAAACACTTTGAACATGTAATGTTAATAGCACATGTGTTATTGGGTTGGCTAATTTGGACAAACGCTTTGAACAGTACTAAAAATTCCAAAAAATATAGGATCTGGAAAGCGAATTTATAGTGGTAAATTCATCTGCAGCAGTACATGTCATGATGCAATTCTTGATGACACATGGGTTTCAAAAATACTTATTTACAGGAGGTCAATATTATGCATCATAATGCATTTTAAATCTAAGGTGTAAAATGAGCATTTACGTGGAATAAATATAGTACACCGCAGTATGTTAAAACCTGAGGGTTTAAACATAAATCTAGAATACATCAATAATCTATTAGGATTATCATGTAATTCATAGGAGAAAGAAGGATTTTTATGCAAAAACGCACATCCTTATCCTTTCCCAGGAAATCAGCCTTATGTCCGTTCATCGAAATCGGCCTTATGTCCGCGCGCGTCGCTTCGCTGCTCGTGGTCGCCACTGGGCTGGTGCTTGGAGCCGCTGGCCATGGGGCGCGGGGCTCGCCATGCGACCAGCAGAGGTGGGGCCGGCCATGGGTTAGGGCCGGGCGGCGCAGGAGGCCGTTGGTTGGCCTCCAGTGCCATGGCGAGCGAGGCCCCGCCGCACCGCAAAGGCCTGGCGTGGGCCCTTGCAGCCGCAGCCGCCACAAACGCCGGGAAGGGGCCGCCAGCCGCGGAAGAGAGGCCGCGGGGGGCACGGGCCGCCAGGGAGCAGGCCGGTCGCACGTGTCGCCACGGGACCACGCGTGTGCGCGTCCTGCCGCTAGGGCCGCATAGGCGCAGGCAGCAGGGCCTCCGGGCGTCGCTCGTGCATCTTGGGGCCGCCGCGGAAACTAGGAAACGTGCCGGGGACGGACGGGTCAGCAACTAGGAACTCACAGTGGGGAACATCGTCGTGTACTCCTGTCGGCACTGGTGAGACCTGCGTGCTTTTGTTCTTCTATGTTGTTGTGGAGGCCGATTCTTCCTCTTGCAAGTCCCCGATGATCTTCTCCGTCGAACTAATTTCCTCGGCCATGAAGAACGACATCATCGTCGCTGAGGTCGCATGGCTTGTTCTTGCAATGGATGCAGCGACGCCCCGTCGAGTCCTTCAACAACGACGCCAGCAACTTCTTCTCCGGCGAACTGCTCTCTGGTTCCTCCTTGTTCTCGTAGAGCAAAGTGCTGATAACGTGTTAGAAGTGAATGTAAATGAACAAGATTTGGAAGAACTGTTGCTTTCATTGATCTCGAAAATATATTTATACAAGTGGAGGGGTACCATGAAGGGACACGACTGTTCCAAAAAAGACATGTCCTTTGGAACTAAAATTAACTGTCTAATCCTATCCACTAATCCTGTGCTTGATGGATGAGATCACTCGTGAAGAGACGCATGTTCATCTGTAGACGTCCGTTCGCGTATAGGTGTCGTTTCGCAACACATCCTTTCATGTCCCGGAGGGCCGCATCGCTTAATCTTCTCTTATCCCTATCCAAGAGATGCCATGCCTGAACAAGGCCACATGTCCATTCCCCCGGGGAAAGACAGACAAATACGACCAGACACCGGTGCGGTCTGGAGTCTGGACGAGCTCAGCAACGTCGAAGTTTTCAAACCCAGAAACCTTTCGTTCAGTCACCGTATATTTGGACAAGAATCTGTGTGCAATTCTAAAGAATTACATGTTACCTAATTTTGTTTGCAAAAGTTCTCAGCTCGAAACATGCAAGGCAAGCATATCATAGCTTTGATAAACCGGCGCCCCGACAGGTTGGTTTGACATACTTTTGAGTTTTGATTTGAGGACACAGACACACAGGGGATCTCATCGTTTTTGTGGAAACTGAACGTTAGCTGTGATATTTGCGTTTTGCTAGATTTTATTAAAAAAAACTATAGACTGTTTATTGTGCTAGTAGTTAAAAAAATATCTGTACACAATTATCACGTACAGAGCAGGGCCCAACGCGTAAGGCCATTAGGCCAACAGCTCTGGGCTCTGGCTAGGTGCCTCTTGCACCGAACAAGCAAGGGAGACCATGCAATTCAGGTTTCAGGGTGAGGCTTCCTATCACTGTACCACAGCAAAGGCTCGTCAAGGAATAGGGGATAGACGTGGAAACACCCAACTACCAACCAACCAACCAGGCTTGGAGCCGTCGAGTCGAAGGTTCTGGGCCACGCCGCCACAAAAGGGGAAGGAAGACAAGGCCTTCGCCCCCGATGCCTCCGCTCTTCACCTCACCCGCCTCCTCCCCTCTCCTCCTCGCCTCCCGCGTCGGCGCTCTCCACCACCGCGGCGCCGCCTCGGTCCACTTCCTCGCGCCGCGCAGGAAGACCCGGCCGCCCCCCGCGATGAGCTGGCTTGGGAAGCTGGGCCTGAGCGGGCTGGGCGGCAGCCCGCGCGCGTCGGAGGCGTCGGCGGCGCTGGCGCAGGGGCCCGACGAGGACCAGCCCGCGCCGGGGAACGAGTTCGCGCAGTTCGGCGCCGGCTGCTTCTGGGGCGTGGAGCTCGCGTTCCAGCGCTTGCCGGGAGTCACGCGCACGGAGGTCGGCTACAGCCAGGGGAACCTCCACGAGCCGACCTACGAGGACGTCTGCACCGGCGCCACGAACCACAACGAGGTCGTCCGCGTGCAGTACGACCCCGCCGCCTGCAAGTACGACGACCTCCTCGACACCTTCTGGGCGCGCCACGACCCCACCACGCCCAACCGACAGGTCAGCGATACCCAGGCGCTTGGTTTTGAGAGAGAATTTTGGGGGTTTTGATGCGAATTTGTGAACGATTTTACGGGAATTCGGAATTAGGCGGCTCTTTCGTTAGGTTCGTCTGTTCGATGGGGGTGGTCGGCACTAGAACAAATAGATTCTGTTGCGAGAAAAAAAAAAGAACAACCAAAAATTTCGTCGCCTGAGAGATTCGAACTCTCGCGGGGAAACCCCATGTACTTAGCAGGCACACGCCTTAACCACTCGGCCAAAGCGACGCTTCTGGTAGCCCTTGTCGCTGTGAACACTCCTTTTTTCAGGAAGAACAAGAACAACGGTGGTTTCTGATGCAAATCTAGTCCTGATCCTGATCGGCCAATAAGGACTGGTGTAGGCTTGTAGCACTAAAAGTCTAGAACTAAGATTGCCATCGTTGATTGCTATGGATGTGTAATAATATCCAGGTAGTGGGCACTGCTTCCTTTAGGAGGCACTGCTCTCTTGAGTCCAAATCTGTTATCCTTAGTTGATTGCAAATTTACAGAGATACTTAGAATTTGAGAAAAGAAGGGCGGGCCTGGTGCAAGCGGTAGTCTTACCGCCTGTGACCGGAAGGTTCCGGGTTCGAGTCGCGGTCTCCTCGCATTGCACAGGCGAGGGTAAGGCTCGCCACTGACACCATTCCCTAGACCCCGTATAGAGCGGGAGCTCTCTGCAGTGGGTACTTTGAATTTGAGAAAATGGTGGACCACGAGATAGTGTTCCACACTAGTTTGGGAGTGCTATAGTCCTTCAACTTCAGCTTTCAGTACTAGTCCTTGTGTCAAACTAACAGTAGTGTGGTGCATGATTGACCTTGCGATTGAGCTGCAGTTTCTATTTCTGGCCTAGTATCTACTATCTTGCTAGGCCGTCATCAACCTATATACTGAATCAATGTGTTTCTAACAGTAACCCTGCATCCAACTTCTGTGCTAGATAAGCTTTTCTTAAGTGTTGATCTGAATCTCTGAGCAACCAAGCATTGTTTGAATCTAGCATTGGAACTTGTCTCTGGATAATTGCATAAGCTTAAGTAAATCAATTCTTTGGAGCATGTCTGACAGGAATAAGTTTCTGATGACATACTTGCATGTAGGGCAATGATGTTGGAACCCAGTATAGGTCAGGGATCTACTACTACACCCCGGAGCAGGAGAAGGCAGCAAGAGAATCCCTGGAGAAGCAGCAGAAGCTTCTGAACCGGACGATCGTCACCGAGATCCTCCCAGCGAAGAGGTTCTATAGAGCAGAGGAGTACCATCAGCAGTACCTGGAGAAGGGTGGCCGCTTCGGCTTCAGGCAGTCTACAGCCAAGGGCTGCAATGACCCCATCCGTTGCTACGGATGAACCAAATGGACCTCTACATGCATGGTGTGAATCGTGCCTGAATAAGGGATACATCAAAGCCAGATTTTATACTGCTTTCCTAGCTTTGTTTGGCCACTATTGAACGGCTGCAAGAGTTTAGCTATATAACATGGTACTCCAATCATCGTGTACAAAACCAGGCTTGGGACCCTAAAGTCCATGCAAGTGCGAGTGAGATTTAAGCTTAAACCGATTCTTGTAGAATTGTACCAGTTTTACAGAACAAAAACAATGGGAGGCAGGGATTGCAAGTGATAATGGCATATTTATGCCGAAGGGCCTCTAGTCCAACTGGTTAGAGCGTCCCGGCGGCACTCCTCAGGTCCTGGGTTCGATTCCCCATCGGAACGAATTTCATACTGAGGTTAAAAAAATCCCCTCGTCTGTCCCACGTCAAAGCATAGGTCTAAGGATCGGCCCGTTCTCATAGGGCGACGGTGCCGCTGTGTAAGGATGGGGCAGGGGTTCGAGGGTTTTCTGGGTCTGCGTGAGAAGGTCTTCTTCTTAATACAATGCCTGGGGGTGGTCATACATCGCAGGTCCAGATAATGGTATATTTCTGGAAAATATGTTTCTGAATTCATTATGGTAACTGAATGCAGCACCTCAAACATTCACATTCACCGGTAATAAGGCAAGCGACAGGGTTCAAAACTGTTGTTTTAACAGGAGAGGGGGATTCCCTTCTATATCAATACAAGTTCCGCAGAGCTCTTGCCGACTGTTTTTTTTAAGGAGAGAGGGATTCTTCACGTACTCGGTCCCAAATAAGTGTCCCAATGAGATACATATTGGTCAAAGTTTCTTAAGTTTGACTAGCTTTATAGAAAATATTAGCAATATTTATACCTCTAAATAAGTTTGTTATGAAAATACATTCAACGATTCATCTAATGATATTAATTATAAACTATAAATATTAATATTTTTTTATATATATCTGGTCAAAGTTAAAAATATCTGACTACTCGGTAAGTCAAAATGACACTTATTTTGGAACGGATGGAGTAAATATATTGCATTAGAGTGGCAATACAAATAGTTGATGCTCAAAAGAACATAATAGAGTATCGTATACTAACAACACACATAAGAGCATAAGAGAGTCGGCTTCAGGGCCTACATTTTGAGAGTGAAACGTCACCAGCATAAGAATTGCACTTATCAAATCCATAATGGAAATTCTTGCATTTGGTCCCAACCTTGGTGCCGTATCCAGGACCAAATTCACTCCCATTTGAAACTTCCAGTTACCCACAATATGGTTTCCTCAGACATTCTACAAAGATTTGGAACACCTCTCTGATCAACACTACTTTTACACAAGACTACAAGAGGCACCTAGCTCAATTGTGCAGGTACAGGTGGTGCAGAGCCAAGAGCCAAACATTCTCAGATGGAAACCAGATCCTAAAGGAGTTTGCACTAGCAAAGCAACATACTTGTCCCTCTTTTCCCAACAAAAGTATTCGCTCCCTTCTCAAGACAGTAGAGGCTTAACACCTAAGGCTCTTCAATTTATATGGACTAAACAGTGATTAAACAGGATAAATGTCTAATTAAACAGACACGGCAAGCCACTATGTAGCATTAACATGACATGTAATTGGGCTAAATGGTCGTGTAGGCGAACAATAGTGACAATCACACATTCTCAGGATTTTTCACTTTAACCACTCTGCCCACCTCCATCGTTGCTCCATCTGCGAAGCACTCATCCATGTAAATCGACAGTCATTTCATATAAATTGGCAGCCGTTTAGACATATATCGTTAAATCAATGAAGTTTGTTATCCACCCTTTGACAAGGGAAGAAGGCGAATCCGAGGCTGTCCCCTAAGGGAGACTTGGAGGCCCCTTGGAGGGCCTATTGCGTCCCACACCATGGGCCCTTCTGAGCAGATATTTTCCTCCGAGTCGTATGGTAGGACTTAGCGATCTAAGGTAGGCGCGGAGCACAATCGAGCCCTTTACTTCCGAGCTATGCTTCGCGACTCGGTGGCATGTGCGGATGAGACACAGTTTAGTCCCTGCCACCAAGTTACCTTGGGGCACTCAGTCACACAAGGGGCCCGTGCCCCAGAGCTTGGTGTCCACCCATTTAGTAGGCCTTGTTCTTTGCAAGCTTTCAGGGGCCCAGCTATGTGTTGTTATACCTCTGATCAAGGTACCACTTACTCAGGTATTCGTCTGTTGTCACTACCCCTTTCTTGCACACCGTAATCCATGCCTGCCACCTCGGTCCAAGCCGACGATCTCGAGGTATGGAAAACAAAATCGCACGGGTGTGCCTTTGTCCAATCGACGGCTAACGATGTCTTACTACAGCTAGGACGTGAGCCATGGACACCACCTTCGTGTTGATCTTGTAGAGGTGGTGTAGGAAGGTGGGCAGTGGTGCCATGGCATTGGCTGCCAAATGGACGTAGGCACACCGGTGGACGCTGAGGCGGGACGAGGCCATGGCGTCAGGGTGGCGGCAATTTGAGGCTAGATTGGGCCGTCATGGTACGAGTCGAGCATGGGGTGGTGACAGATTCAAGGCTAAAGTGGGCTAACACGACGAGGGATGGGGCCGGGGTTGATGCTAGCGCCATGGGGATCAGGCCAGGGACGGCTGGCACGACGAGGTTGAGGTCGGGGACGAGGACGAGGCTGACACGACTAGGTGCAGAGCGGAAACCACGGGGGGATGATCATAGAAAAAGGAAAGAAAATAAATAAATTGTGGTATAACTTGTAGACCCCATATCTTGAGGTTATTGGTGATCTGCTACAATATCTCCCCCAATAATCTAAAAATTAATTTTAGGACACCCCGTTATCACTTTATTAGGGGAGTTATATTGTGAAACCGTTGAAGATGCTCTAAGCTTGGCCATGGATGCCATTGGCATGGCTCATGGTGAGCTCAACAACAAATCAGGTGGCCTAGGATGTCAGTTTCCCACGTTCCATCACCAAAATCAAGCTAGACCTCTCCTAAGATGAGACGAGTATCTATCCTTCCTCCTAATCTCCCTCCGTCTTGAAACACTAAAGCCCTTGTTTTTAAAGGGGCTAAGGCCCTATTTAGTACTCCCCTATCCCTAAAAAAGAGTCGTCATAGGAATCGTGTTGATCAATTTTTTTCAACTTTGACTAAGTTTATATAAAATACGTGTATCATTTATATCCCAAATAAGTTTATTATAAAAGTATATTCAACAATCTACTTATCTACTTAACAATATTAATTATTTACCATAAATAAAAATATTTTATTAAATATATTGTCAATAGTTGTTGATTTTTTAAAGCAAGAATGACTTTTTTTTTAAGAGACGGAGGGAGTATAGCTCTTGCCTCGTGGAGGCTTGGCTCGTTCTCCTCCTAGTTATTGTAACGCCACTGTCCTATTTGGTAGCTCCGGCTCCTCCCAATCATTGTACCACCACTGTTTGTTACGTTTTGATTCCTAAGATGAAAAACGAGAGAGAGGATCCAAGAAAGAGGATCCGATGGAGACACAATTTCTAGCTTGTACTACAGTGAACCCAAAAATGAAAAAGCAGGAATGAAAAAAAATACATGAAATAGGTGTTTGATGAACCACACGAAATACACAGGAATAAAAAACAATGAGGCTGGAGTGGATGTTTTTTTTTCCCTATGAAATCAAAGGCAGTTTCCTATGTTTTTTCTATGAGCAATTTTTTCGATTGAGCAATTCCTGTGAACCAAAACGATGTTACAGCAACTCTATAACAATGGAAATCCTACAATTTTCCTTTGTTCTTCCTACAACCCAAAAGGGCCTTAGAGTTGAGGTGCCGTTGAGCTGCGCCAACCAGCCACCACGCGGCCATGCCTCCGCCCACGACCAGTACACACGCCGTGCAACAAAACCAGGCACCAGAACACTCTATTGCTTGGTGTATCTCATGAAATCAATACCATATCCATATAAGATTCATATGCAAAATGTAAGCATGCACAAGGAAGGAAATTCAGTCCACGGAAATAAGGTTCTAAGATGCAGATCATAATCTTTTCAAACTCTAAATATTGCTAAAGCACAGCTGGTGCTAGGCTTCCTTTGGCTCTCAAGGTTCAATGTGAAACATTCCCCGTTTACTTCTCGTAGATCCAAGGGTGCTGGCTGCTCTGCCAATCAGCGAGGCCCTCGGGGAACCACAGGGCAATCTCCTTGTTAGCACTCTCAATGCTGTCGCTTCCATGAATGACATTCCTATAGCACAAAAATAAAGTCATATGAGAACTTGGCTAAGATATCACAAACAGAATCCAAAACGTTAACACTATATTTCAAATCGGTTCTTCTTGATTTAAATCAGTGCAATACAACAAACCTTCATCAACAACCAACCAGAATCAGATACAGAGCCCCAACTATTCATGGGTAAGACAAGTTTAATGGATATCACTCTAACAGACTAGACCAGTCCCCACAACTAAATCAGGAAAGTACATTACATGATTCTACTGATGTTTAAAGGTTTTGTGGACTCCACATCAGATTCAGAACAAGTATAAGCTGAGATCTGGTGACCACATGCCACAGAGGCTGTACCAGATGGACCCATGAGTTGGATGTAACAAGTCATAATGCAAGCATTAAGACAGTTGAATTGCAGCATGACTGCAATCATGAGACAACCACAGATGTTTTCATTGCCCCAAGATAGAAACAAACTAATGAACTGGGAGCCCCCACCTTTGGTCATAAACATCTATATACAGATTCAAAAAAAAAAAAAACTGTTCCTCTAGACAAATCCAATAGTAGCCAGTTAAGAATTTTAGCATCACCATGAAATAGAGCAAATTTAGGATATTACTATGATGAACTCAGAATGTGAACATTTTTTCCATACAATGTATGGCAGCTCCTATGGGATTTCGCAGCGTAACAAATTAAGCAACCAAGCATAACCATCGCATCACAGACATGAATAACAGTAATATAAAGTTATAAACCACAGGCTACAAATTTGGGACTGAGATCTGACCTGCCAATGTCGACAGCGAAGTCACCACGGATGGTGCCGGGCTCAGAAGCCAGGGGGTTGGTGGCGCCGATGATCTTGCGGCCAGTTGTGACGACGCTCTTGCCCTCCCAGACCATGGCCACCACAGGGCCAGAGATGATGTAGTCCACGAGGCCCTGGAAGAAGGGCTTGGAGGACAGATCAGCGTAGTGCTTCTCGGCGAACGACCTCTCCACGTTCACAAGCTTCAAGGCTGCATTTTCAATTGGCAGGTTACCAAGCAAAAATTGTTTACAAACCGTAATCAGATTAAAGACAACTTAGCAGCTGTGCACCAAAAATCTGAATTTTATCAACAGATTTAGGTAAAGTGACAACTCATTTGAGCCCAAACGGTTGAATTTCCGTCTAAAGCTACAGCTTTAATCTTTATTACATGAAGAAATTGTAGCCAGTTTCAAAACGTAATGGATGTTTGAATCAAAACATGGACGCTAGATTACCCTTGAGGTAGAAGCCCTTCTTCTCGAAACGGCTGATGATCTCACCAATCTGGGAAAAAAAAAGCAGAATCAAGTTAACACAAGCAGTACCAAATCGGAGCAACAAGCGCGCGCGCATCACCAAATCGAATCGAATCAACGGAAACGAACAGGGAAAATATGATGCTTACGAGGCCCCTCTGGACGCCGTCAGGCTTGATCATGATGAAGGTGCTCTCCATTGCGGCTACTGCGAGCGGGCGCTGGCTCCTGGTTCGGGGGGTTTCGTCTGGTTTTTGTCGGCGCCGTCGGAGGAAACCCTAGGCGGGGGTCCTCTCTCTCATATATAGGGCCCCGGCCCGTCAAGGCCGCTCAACGCCGACACGTGAGCGGCGGCGTCGGTCGTGCAAACCCTAGTCTCGAGAAACTTGGTGGGCTCGACTGGACCAGGCTTATCGGAAGCAGTTGGAGCCCGACCCACTGGATTCGCAGCATCCACCTGTGGGCTGTTGAAGGGTGGCCATTCCGGCTGATGGGCCTTCCTGGTCCAACAGTTGGACGTCCAGTACGGGTTTGGAACAAGATACTCATGGACTGCCAGTCCTATATCAGTTCAAGATCCACACCTCTATTCCTCATTCTTTCACTCTTCTGAAACTGAAGAAGAAAAGGAAAAAAGGACTTTCATGTTGTGCATATGATCTGCAGCACGTGATGTGTGATGGCTCGTCGTCATCAGGCTCGTGATTACTCTATCTAGGGTGTAAGTGCAGAGGATTTCACATTTTCACGTAATTGTTGACTAGGGTTGTCTTCTTTGCGAACTGCAACTTCAATTGCAAGTTGCAAGGCTACACCTACAACGAAGGGACAGGCCACACATCAACATCCCCGGAGTGTGAACAACTGGGGAAGGCGAGTTGCTTGCTCCTCCGAGGCATCACCTGTCTTTTGTGCTGGCTTGGTGGGGCAGCCGTCGCTGAAAAGAGCACTTCCAAGTCGGTTGGCTTGTTTGTTAGGTGGGTGCGCATGGGTAGGAGGGGGAAGGTGCACTTCTTCCTCACTTCCTCTTGTCTCCACACCACGGCACTCCAAGATCTGGGGAATCAACAACGCTGTGACTGTGAGCCTGCACCATGGCGTGCGCCAATCTTCTTGCCAACCTGATACACTGTATGATCAATTGGAGCGCCTAAAACAAGTAGCAGTAACAGAATTGTATACTCAAACTCTTCTTCGTAATACAATAATATGCAAATCTTTTGCGTATTTGAGAAAAAAAAAGTAGCAGTAACAGAAGCGATCAGTGGAGCATGCTTTATGTGTATTAGATTAGATTACATCAAGGATATGTCAGCACTCAAGGAATATATGAATAGAGGGCTTCACAACGAGTCTTCTTAATAATAACCCTCAATTCCACGTTCACTGCCACAGTCACCACTACGACATTCTACTAATTGAACTTCTCCAAAAATTCCTAGGCTCACAGTATGAATCAAGAAGCAGGCAGGAAGACAGGTTTGACCAAGAATTGTTCCTATATTCCATGACAACGGGACCAGTAGTTAATTAAAATCTATGAAAAGAAAAATGTATGGTTTTTACTAGCTCGTATTACTAGTAATTCATTCCTCATTTGGGCGATCTTGGTGCCGCCGCCATGGACCGCCGCGTCGGCCCCGCCTCAACGTCGCCGTCCTCCTTCTTCTCAACGACCGCGGACGCCTCGTCTTCCTTGCCGTTCTCGGCTGCCGCGTCCGGCGAGGGCCCCTCGAGGTCGTCCCGGACGCGGAAGGAGGCGTGGAGGACGATGACCGGGACGCCCGCGGCGAGCGCGGCCAGGAGGTTGGCGACGGCGCCCGCGGCGACGATGTCCGCGAGCACGAGCGCGACGAACACCGCGGCCACGAGGCGGCGGTCGAGGAGCCTCCGGAGCAGCGCCGAGTTGGGGAACGCCCTGAGGAGGCCCCCGTAGACGAGGAGGCCCTTGGACGCCGCCATGAGGAAGACAACGGAGGCCCGGTGCCGCGGCGCCAGGGAGGCGAGCAGGAGCACCCACTGCAGGACGGCGTAGTGGAACCGGAAGGTGCGGAGGTTCCGCACGGCGCGCACCGCCGCGGCCTCCGCGTCGGCGGCGGGGCCGAACGCCGAGGCCCGCGGCGCGAACCGCGCCAGCGCGCGGCGGAAGCCCCGCGCCCCCGCGCACGCCCTGTCGACCACCGACGCCGCCGCCCGCTGGATCGCGCCGGCAGCACCCATGGCCCCGGCCGGCGAGATCTGCTCCTCACCTGACTCGATAAATTACTCGATGTGCCTGCCGCCGCGATCCGGCGGACGATTCGGGCGCTATTTTTAGACACACGCAAGGCTCGAGCTGGGTCAAGGGACTCGAGAAGGGACGCGTTTTTTTTTACCGGGTCGCACGGTCTGCTGGCGCTGGGCGCTGGGCGCTGGCGACGGGGAGGGAATAAAGGGCCCCGTCCACTCGGCGTGTGTTGGCAGAAACCGTGACTTTTCCACTTGGTCCGCGTCGGTTTCGTTGGGTTTTGAGGCCGCTGCCCGGCGGCCCCCACCTCCATTTCTGGTGTCTGGGGTCCGTCACCGAGGCCGAACCCACCCGCCGTGGCCCGTGGACCGCGATGCACTGCTGTTGGCTGTTGCCGTTCTTCCCAAATGTTCGGCGCATGCGACTACCAAGTATTTCGTTGATCGTGGTTTGTGTGCTGCTTTCCTTCTTTTTGTTTTTCAACAAGGTCTCGCAATTGCAGCAAGGACGTGCGTAGAAGTGTACGGAGTACTCCAATTTAAAGTGACGGTACACCGTACACCAGCTGATGGGGGGGCTAGGGAGGCAGCAATGAACGCGTGCTGGTGCTTGCTGGACGTTCTTTTTTCATTATAAAAAAATGTAGCACAGTATCTCCTCCTAATATGTAAAAAAAGGTGTAAACGAATCGGATACGTATGTAATCATATGAATGTGACCATTTATCGTACTAGCAAAAATATCCTTACGTCGCTACGGAACGTATAGTTTGAAGTCATCTAAACGACCTAAAGTTCAGAAGATTTATTCACCTATTACATCGTGTGTTTTTACTCACCTTGGTATCAAACTCTATAACATGTCTGGACACGCTTTACTCGTATTTATATAGGTAAAGGATGCTTGAATATTTATTCATTGATTGGGTCATGCGTTTCAATTTATATTAGGATCGAACTTCTCATCGTGTCTGACACTGCTCTAACTCGTAAAAGTATGAAAAAGAGCAAATGATTAAAAACTCCATACCTTAATATTAGTATATACTACTTTTTTTTAGAAAACATAGTTCATATTTAGAAATTCATCCAAAGCATTTCCTTCCCATACTCAAAAGTAGAGATCAGACAAACCAAACTTCACCATTCATGTAGTTTTTGGTGGAGATAGCATATAGGCCAAAAAAATATTGATCTATTGCTTAACTTTTGGAGAAAAAAATGATAACGATTTGATTTTTTGTTTATTATATTGCACGTAGGTTTTTTTTGCGACGAAAGAAGAATTATATTAGATAATATTCAGGTACATCAACACATTATAAGCACTCTGGATTACACAATTATCCAGAAAACTGATTTTCATCTAAATTGTACCCACGTTGTGAATAACTTCAGATCTCAAAACCAAATATGTACGATGCTTTGCAGTATGGATGAACGCATAGACAAACACTTGGCAAAAGGCCTAAGAACGTATGCCCAACGAACAACAGCAAACATTCATGTATGCGGAGTTGAGAAACTTCTTCTTTCTGGTGTCTTCCTTCTTTTTTCTGTCACTGAAGAATGAGGAAGACTGATTTGAAACTTATTCTCCCTAGTCCTTCATCGTGGCTAGATCTAACCATAATAAAACAGAGAAAAGACTGGAGAAAATTATTCCATGGTGGCGACGCCATCTCCGCCTTGATATCGCCATCCGGAAAAAGTCTATGTCATCAAACCGGTGAGGATGCTAGTTGTCGCCCTCATCTTCAACAAAGCCAGCATGGAGAAAACGATTCCACCCTGCCCTCTCGCCGTCGCTGGAGAGGAGGAGAAAACAAATCCCCAAAACCAAGAAACTTGGCATGGAGAGACGATAACCCTAAAGACTCGATCTACTGGGAAAATTTATTAAAAATGATGGATCCCTACTCCCTCCAGCCTCTGGTGATATGCCGGAGGGGGAAGGGAGGGGGACTAGCGGTGGTGGAGTGCGGGGAACGGTGGTGGCAGCGGCGGCACTCCGAGCCGTGACTCGCGAGACCCTGAGTTGGTTGCTTAACAACTACACCGCGGACATGGTCACTAGGAGGCTTTGACGCTGCTTGCACCTCCCACCCCACTCCCTCGCTCGCCCGCCCGCGCATGCCTGCATATATTGCAGGCAGGTTGAGCATCTACTATAACAATTAAAGAGGATAGCTTATGCACAAAAACTAACACAACGGTAGTTTCATGGTGAAATTTATCTATATCTATCTATATCTCTTATAAAAACAAATCTCACTATCTTTCAATCTTCACATGCATGACACCACATGGCATACTCCACTAAGTGCCACGTCATCCCCTTAATAATTGCTACAACATTTTCCACCTAATACAATTACTATTTTTAGTTTATCAACATGCAAGATATCCACGCTGTACTATTTTTTTTCCTATCACATTCTCCTATAACTTAATTTAATATTCTACAAATGTTTTATTTCAAAGTCCCACAGCAACGTGTCGGGGTATTCTTCAAGTTTGTTGAAAACTAAAGTTATGAATTTAATTCTCTATTTTACATTAGAATTTAATTCCCTCCTCTACAGGAGAAAGAAAAAAAGAACGAAACAAAAAGAGACGAAACCGTAAAAACTAAAAAAAGAGACAAAATTGTAACAACATAAAAAATAAGATAAAGCGATGGATTGGAAAAGAAATTAATATTAGGTACAGCTAGATATACATATGAGATAGAGATTAGGATTTCTATTCAGCTTCTTTGACATCGCAAAGTTCTATTTGGATTTGGATTCGTAGCTATCTTGAACCTATCACATAAATCAGGAGAGTTATAGACAACACAGAGTTAGTTAAGAGGAGGTGGACGAAAAAAATTGATGGACGGAAAAAATGGGCTAAATTTTTACCTCTTTATTATTAGGTATAGATATAGATATAGATTTTTCCCCTTGGATATAGATATAGATTTACATATCCTTGATACTGGGAATTTCATCCGCATTTAATAAGCTACCACGTAGGCATTTTTTATGATGTGGCACCATATTTAAGAAGAGAGAGAGAAGAAATAAGTTTTATGGGGATGAAACTCTCCTGACATCGTTACCAACTCACAATAAGTAATGGAATTAAATGTTTATAAAACTATAGAATGAAACTATGCATTGAGAGTGATTGTTTCATTCTAGTTTCATTGTATTTTATCTGATGTGGCATTTTTGGAAAATAACGCTATGAAACTTACCTCTGAGACTGACCTAATACAAAACAGATAATTTGGATATAGATTCACATTCATATATTTATTTAGCTTTTGTCTATAATTGTCCAACCAAAGAATTTAGAGAAATAAGTCATGTAACGAGCGATTACTAAACTCTATACATATGGATAATAATAAAAGTACATTGTTAGTAATATTAACTATTGTACATTATAAATCAATATTCATATTAACTAAGTGTGCATCATTCATAAAAACACCGGCTACCAATTACTCGTAGATATGATTTTGAAAGAACTACCAATTACTCGTAGATATGATTTTGAAAGAACTGAGCCAATGCTTAGAGGGGGTTGACTAGGCTTAGCTAAAAATCTTTGCAGAAAAACATTTTGAATCACAGAAAACAACAAAATCAACCTGGCCTATTTCCCTAGTTGTAATACTAAAAACAGAAGAAAACGGCCTCGGCCAATTTTCCTTAAACACCTATAGTGATGTTAATTTTTCGCGTTGCACCTCTTCTAGTCCAATTCAAACTTGTTGTTGAAAGGTCCTAATATGGCTAGAGGGCGGTGAATAGCCTATAAAAGCTCTACAAAATCACTAGAGCAATTTGTTAGTACGCTAAACGGCAAAATATAATTTTGCTCTAGCTCTATAAGGGTTGCAAGCCACCTACCAACAATTCTAATGGCTATGATCACTAATTCACACGCAAGCCTAGGTTGCTACTTGCTAAGCTAGTGAGCTTTCAAAGGCTAACTACAGAGCCTCACTAACCAAACTAACAAGCTCTCACAACTAGCTACACTAAAGAGCTTGACACTAGGCAAGAAGGTAAAGAAAGTAATACAAGAGAGAGTAGGGTGATTATATCGCCGTAGCAAGTGTGATGAACAAATCAATATAAATGACAATCAATCACCGGGAGAAATCCAATCACAAGATGACACACGATTTTTCTCCTGAGGTTCACGTGCTTGCCGGCACGCTAGTCCCCGTTGTGTCAACCAACACTTAGTGGTTCGGCGGCTAATAGGTATCACACACCTAGCCAACACTTGGCGTCGCAAGAACTTACTCACAAGTGAGGTAACTCAATGGCACGAGTAATCCACTAGAGTTACCTTTTGGCTCTCCGCCGGGGAAGATACAAGACCTCTCACAAATCACCGAGGGACAGCCACGAACAATCACCAACTCGTGCTGATGCTCCTCCACTGCTCTAAGCCGTCTAGGTGGCAACAATCACCAAGAGTAATAAGAAATCCGTAGCTACAACGATTCCCAAGTGCCACTAGATGAAATCATTCAAGCAAATGCACTAGGAATCACTCCCAATCTCACTATGATGATGAACCAATGATGAAGATGAGTGGGAGGAGTTTGCTTAGGCTCACAAGGATGTATCACAGGTGAAAATATCAAATAGTGTGAGCCCAAACCGAAGCACTTCTATTTATAGAGGCCCCAAGACTCAGAGAGCCATTGGAGCCTCGGGGCTTGACCGAACTCACTGACCGGATGCAACCTAGCCTTCGGCAGCCAGCGTCCAATCAGCCCTGGCCATCCATGTGTCAGCGCTTTGAACTGCGTCCATTAGATCACAATAGTATCTAATGTTCACTTGCGCAGTTAAAGAATGACCGGACGCGACGCTAGACTGACCGGACTCACCAATGTTGGTAGTCCTTAACGATGAAATCCGACCACCAATTAAGACACAAAAAGAGGAGAAATTATCAATCTTAAACACATATGCATTTAC